CGCGGCTGGGCCTATTAACCGTGGGCTTAATAACCGGCGACTACTGTACTATATAATATTAAGTTATATAAATTCGCGACATAAATCTCGTGACATATTACCATCCTGGGCTTTTTGATTCACAACTGCACACTTTGGATGCGAGTTTGAAGACTGAATAAGCTCTACGTGCCAAGGCCAAATCTCCTCACCGGGTGGTCTTGTGCCATTATGCTTAATTATGCCTAAAAAGTAAACATTTTTTTCACAAGACCGTAGGCTTACCAGACGTTTGTGTACACGTTATTTTGAAATTCGATATTCCCGCAGGCTGTGCCTATAGTTTTTTTCGTGCTTACAAGCTTCAAGGGTTGAATTTAAAGGGTTAAAGGGTTGAATTTAAATATTTTTCACTTTTGTTGCAGGTAATAACAATTTTGCACTCTTTCATTAGGCAATGGTGAAGGCCAAACTGACTTCGGAGGATGATCTGCAGTCCGATGGATGGATTCCTGTCTCTTTACTCTGCCCCCTCACTCTCACGCGTATCGAAGTGAGTCCGAGCATTTTCAGCGATGCTGTTGCACCGTTTGCCGTTTATAATGGATTTTTTAGAAGGTATTATTCGGGAAACCACCTAGTGTACTGTGGAGAAGTTTGTAGCCGTCGATAACAACCGTCCAGTCGGCGGTGTGAGTGATTTTGTAGTCCTATGTATGAATCCCATTTTCTCTGCAGATTCCTGTGCGCTCAGTGAGCTGTGACCATCTGCAGTGCTTTGACCTCTCTTCCTATCTGACAATTAACAAGAAGCGTCCTCGGTGGTCCTGTCCTGTCTGCAGTTCGCCAGCCCCATTCCGCGATCTGCGACGCGATGAGTAAGTGCGCCCGCGATCTCCACTTTCCCTTCTTTCTAGATTGATCTGTGTACCTCATGAGTTAGTTTGGTTTAACCATATTTTTTATGTTTTGCAAAGAAAAAAGGGCTGGGATGACCTGCTTTTCTTGCTTTGTTGGGACCATTCAGCTGTACCCCTTAGCACAGGTAATGTTTAAGTGGACATTGTGTCCCTGCCTGCTGTTCATCGGGTGTTTGATTCAGACGCCCGCCCAGTTGAACCACGACACAATCACTGTCGGCTGCAGTCCGGAACTTTCAGTCCCATTTGCAGTATAGCATGCAGATAAAGAAAAAGGCTTGTCGAACACCGTATCAATTTGTTTATTATCCTGAGCTTTCGAACTCTACTACTATCTTGAGTATGCATCGGGCTCCTGTATACGTATCATCCCTACGTCTTTCTTTCCTTTAAGTTTATTCGTCCAATTGATTGCCGATCAGAGTCTCAGGGATACCGAAATGATACACGTAGATGTCAATGGGCAGTGGCGAGAAGTCTCGAAATGCACAGAAGGTGATGCCTCTGCTGTCATATCAGTCAAGGAGTCGATGACTGCCACCCCTTCTAACAACCCGAAAATTGCTGCTGTTCAGTCACCACTGAATGAGACCTCTACAATGTCGCCTTGTATATTGGAGTCAAATTCCTCGTCTAGACCCGTGACGCCAGTAGAATCTGAAGTTTCTCCATTCAGTGACTGTGTCGTTCTCCTTGACGACGATTATGATGACCAGGGGGGTGACGCGACGCAGCCGGACCTACCCACTGTTGCCCGTCCCACTGCATCCCATGGTTGCCGGGGTCAACCCCTTTCTGCTGTCGTCACTAATGAACGGTTAGGAACGCGTACTTTTGCGACGCTTCATTCTGAACCGAGGAAGTAGGTTAATTTTTTCCTCCTCCCTCGTTAATTTCTTTCGTGATAAATTCTTGTTGCATTTCCATTGGCAAGTCTTTGTGGCAACGGTAGGTTATGTAAGGTACTTATGTCACCGCTAGAACCTAAACCGTGTACAGTAGTCACCGGCTATTAAGCCCACGGTTGATAAGCCCGCCTTTTATTAAGCCCAATTTGGTCTGGGCCCGAAGTGGACTTAATAACCGGCGACTGCTGCATTAAACCCATGGTTAATAATATCGCCGCTTATTAAGCCCAATTTGGTCTGGGCCCGAGGTGGGCTTAATAGCCGGTGACTACTGTAATAAGGGAGTGATGATAATGGCTGTTTTACGTGTGGGTCATCGCGGCGAGCAGTGGAAGAAGTATGTGAAGAGCAACGAAAGAAGATCCAAAACATACGTCAAACTTATTCGTCTAAGCTTGTTTATAGCAATGAATTTGAGCGCTATGATCGAAAAACAAGCAAAAACAACCTAAATAAATAAATAGATGGTAGTGGAATAAACCACCACGGAGAAAATTGTGATAGGCCAAGCACCGATGGGACGAATAACAAATTGAAACTAAGAGAAATAGGTGTGAATCAGACCAACTGTGAAAATTGACTCCGAGTGGAGGCGATGAACAGTAACGCCAGAGAAGGTATGAAAACGCAACCAACTGAACAAGTAAATAACTGAATAATGCGAGCAATGAGACATTTATCTGTTTCTAAGTAAGTTACTGCATAAAGTACTTGAAAATGTAAATTAATTTTTTTGTTATATACATATGAAAAGAAGTAGCGGTGAAAGGATTTGTAAATAAAGCTAAAGGCAATGTTTACAATACGTCCTTTTAAACTGTAGGCGAACTGCTACAGGTAACAGAAAAAGGGCATGGTACTCTGCTGTCTTCACTGATAAACAGTCAGGAAAACTTCCCTCTGAAGCGCTCGATTCTGCACCAACGAAGTAAGTTTCTGTTTTCTATCCTCTCGGTAACTTGACCAATCACTTTTGCTTCTCCATTGACAACTCTGCTTGTGTGCAAAACTAGAGCCAGTTTTTATAGAGGTCCATTTAATGCATGTAATAGTACCTGGTGACTTCAGCAGTAACAACGGAATTTGGCAGTTTGCACTCTACTGATTTGGTGTTATTGTTGAGCCGAGTCTGCATGGTAGTTGGTCTTTACAATTGCTTGTGTTTGACGACCTATGTGCAGTTTTATTCTACCCTTCATTTTTAAACACGGTGTTCTAGCCTTTTTATCGATCTGGCTGCAAGCTCAGATGATGAATTCACTGCGATGGCATCCGCTCCACCGCCTTCCAATCTCAAACCGTCGACAGCAGCGTCGCCACCAACAGCTGCTTCCACCTCAACATACCTTCCAGCAGTGGTTCCCCCTTGTAGCCTCGCGTGCCTCCAC